TTGATGGTACACCTAAATATAATACAATAAAAATTAAAAAGAAAAAAATTATTCCTTCCACAGATGTAGTCAGACTGATTCCTATGCAGTCCATCGGGTGAGGTCCATACGTAAAGCTGCCATTTGTGTGTGTGTGTGTGTGTGTGTGTGTGTGTGTGCGCGCTCGCAACTTAAAATGTATTTATGATGAATAAATAATTGAATATACAAAATTAAATCATTCTATTTCCAGCTTAAATTCTGTCACCAAGTCGTTACTTTCCAACTACCATTCCTTCTTCATTGTTTCCAATGATTGCATTCCAGTCACCAGTTATCCTGAATGCATCTTGGTTGCTTGTTTAGTCAGTTTCAGACTGCAAAATTTGGTAAAGTCTTTAATTCCCTCCTCTTTGGCTTTAGGTGTTGGCTCATACATGAACCATTAGCTAAAGTTGAAGCCAGAACAGTTAGCAATAATTCAACTGTACATGAAACTAACTGCAAATCCCATAGATATTGTCCCACAAAATAAAAACTCAAGCTGTATTGAATGTACCATGGACTGCCAAGAAAACAAACAGATTCATCCTAGAGAGGGTTAAACCAGGCTGCTCCTTGGAGGCAAGGATTCTGGGGCTTCATCTGACATACTTTGGACATGTTGTAAGGAGAGACAGGTCTTTACAGAGGGACATCATGCTGGGCAGAGTGGAGGGACAGTGCAGGAGGGGAAGACCCTCTATGAGGTGGATTGATTCAGTGACTGGGGTAATCAGAGGCAATGAGATTGGCACAGGATAGAGCAGGGTTTAGGGCTGTTGTACATAGGGTCGCTATGAGTCGCAAACGACTTGACGGCACATAACAACAACAACAACAACATTCAGAAGAGGCTCTGAAAGCAGAGAATAGAAGGAAGATATTTACTGGTGTTTTATTGACCATGCAAAGGCATTTGACTGTATGAATCATAACAAATTATGACTAATATTGAAAGTGGAAATCACAGACCACCTAATTATGCTCGTGTGAAACCTAGGCCTAGACAAAGAAGGCTCTGTCCATACTGAACAAGGGATCTCTGCATGGTTTAAAATCAGGGAAGGTTTGAGTCAGGTCTATATCCTTTCTCAATAGTATGCATGCTAAGCAAAGAATTTGAAAATCTGGGCTACCTGCCTGGCATATGATAAATATTATGCTGTTATGATTAATGTTATTTTCTGATGAGTTTCCTTTGGTGGTGGTATGATGGGTGCATTCAGTAGCTTCTAATTCCTATCCTCCAAGGTTTTAATTTTGAAAGAAAGATAAAACATCTCTTCCAGAAAATTAAGCAGCAGGATTTACTTTAACTGCGTCAAGAGTCCAATGAACCTATCACCATGGACAGAGAGATTCTACGCACTGATAAATCAGATGCTAAATATCCATTCATACAGCTTGAAGTGGTGCCAACACTACCTAAATCATGGCAAGCGTGGGAAAGGGATGATTTCCCAGAAGAATTCTGGCATATGTTACCAGAAGAAAAGTGAAAAAGGTATAACTGCTGAGTAAAAAAGAGATATTTAATGTGCTTGTAGGTCACTTTTGAAAAGAGAGAACAGAAGAGAGAAGACCAGTAAAGGAGGAGGAATGACAAAATGGAAAATACAAGTGCCTGAGACCTCTTGTCATCTGAAGTTAGACTTGCTCTGATCTGCTGAGGATCGCATTGACCATGGTGAATTACAGGTGGCTTCAGCCATGCCCAGATGTACTACTCATCCCTGTTCCAGACTGCCTGCCTGCCTGCCTCTTCTTGAGTTTACTTCTGTCTTCTTCACTTAACCTTTGTCCCTCTTAGTCTACCTCCTCCTTTCTCTGCTCCCTAATCATAGCTCTTGCATAGTGGGGTGATGAGATCTTCATTGCTTCAGCTTGAGGACAACTTTGCTCCTTGGTTCCTGCCTCATCTCCTTTTCCACCTTGGGTCTCAATCAAGTCAATTCCCAAGTCTTGGCACTTAAACTGCGGGAAATTTTTTCTGAAGTGTCCTGAACATTTTCCTTCAGCCAGTTAGACCTGTGACCCTCTTTGGTAGTAACCAAGTTGACATCTTTTTTAAAAATTGTATTTATTTATTTTATTTTATTATTTGTGTGTGTGTGTGTACCATCAAATCAGATCTGACTGGTACAGGAGGAGATTGTCCCTCCTTCCCTGGCAGAGCATCTGGTGGATTCGAACCATGCGCCTCTGGGATTGCAGTGCAGCTTCTTGCCACTAGGCCACCAGAGCTCCCCCCAACTTGACATCTTGAGCAGTGGTTTTTAATCTTTATAGCATCATAAAACTCTCTGGAGAATTTACTAGAAGATGGATATTTGGTAATTACTAGCCACATGTGGTTACTAAGCACTTGAAATGTAACAGGTCTAAATTAGGATGTGTTATAAGCATAAAAAATATACTAAATGTAAAGATTTTATATTAAAAAGAATAATGTAAAAAATCTCAATAACTTTATCTACTGATCACATACTGAATTAATGACATCATGGATATATTTACCTTAAGTGAAATATAGAATTTAAGATGCACCTGATCCAGGTCATGGTCTTTGCAATTACTTGCTAAGCATCAGAGAGCTGGACAATGACTAAGAATGACAGAAGAATTGATACCTTTGAATTGTGGTGTTGGTGAAGAGTCTTGAACATATCATGAACCACCAAGAAAACAAATAGGTCTATCTTGGAGAGGTTGAAACCAAGTCTCTCCTTGGAGGTTAGGATTTTGAAGTTCTGTCTCACATACTTTGGGCATCTGGCCAGGAGGGAACAGTCCTTGGAGAAGGACATCATACTCAGAAGGGTGGGGTGTAGTTCACAGAGAGTTGCTCTGCTAAATCAAAAGTTATGTCTCTCTGGCGATTCAAATCCACTGGACTGGCTATGTAAATCTAGTTTATGTAGATTAGAACTATTTTCCCATTCATTTCCTCCCACCCCCTTGTTCATGTTGTTGTTGTTAGGGACCATTGAATCAACTACAACTCAAAGCAACCATGTGAACCACAGATCTGAAGCTTGCCCTCTCCTGGGCCATCCGGAAGGCCTGATATACTTGAATCCGTTGCTAAAGTCATTGTCAATCCATCCCCTTGAGAGTCATCCTACCTTTCCCAGCATGATGTCTTTTTTCCAAGGACTGGACACTCCTGATAACATGTCCAACATGTGTGAAATAAAGTTTCATCATCCTTGCTTCTACAGAGCACCCTGGTTGCACTTCCTCCAAGAAACATTTACTTGGTTTTTTTTTTTTAGCACTTCTAGGAATATTCAGAACTCATCTCTAACACCACAATTCAAAGGCATAAATTCTTTGGTCTTCCTTATTCGTTGATCAAATTTCAGATGTACCAGAAGGAATTGAAAATACAATGGCTTGGATCAGGCACACCTTAGTCTTTAAAGTGAATATTATTAAAAATTTTGCCAATTCTATAAGAAGACATTTTAGATTCATCTGTGGTAACTTATTGCAAGGAGGGACAAGTCCTTGGAGAGCAATGCCATGTTGAGAGGGTGGAAGGACAGCGCAGGAGACCCTCTGTGAGATGGATTGATTCAGTGACTGGGGTAATGAAGGTAGGTGTGTCAGAAACAGTGAGATTGGCACAGGACAGAGTGGGGCATAAGGCTGTTTTACACAGGGTCGCTAGGAGTCACAGGCAACTTGACAGCATGTAACAACAACAACAACGTAACTTAACATTAGTATAGTTTTATTTTCTTTTCAAAACAAATAATCTATTATTAAATTAGTGAATTTATGTCCTTCCAGGTGAATATTTAATATTATTATGCACACTGAATAGTTCAATGGTGTCACAAAGTTTTGTTTTACAGAATTATTACTCTAAAAGTTTTCTGATTGGTTTATTTTGCCTTTATATAAACATATCTTTGGATCCTAATAAAACTCTTCTAAACTCCTAAACGAGTCCTTGCATGTCCAAAAAGTAGTGCTAACAGAAAGACTGGAGGGGTTCTAGTCCATCCAGAGGTACCATGTTGTGTTATTGTTATGTGCCATCAAGTCACCTGAGACTCATCACAACCCTATGTACAGTAGCTCTGAGAATATCTGCAGGACCTCTCAAAAGTGCAAAAAAAAAAAAAAGAAAGAGCAAAGACGTCAGTCTGGAGTCTAGGGTACACCTGATTCAAGGCATAGTCTTTGCAGTTACTTGCTATACATCAGAGAGCTGGACAATGACCAAAGATGATAGAAGAAGAATTGATGCCTTTCAGTGGCGCAGGAGAAGAGTATTGAACTTCCAAGAGAACAAATAGGTCTGTTCTGCAGAGGATGAAACCTTAGAGGCAAGGATTTGGGGGTTGGGGAAGCCTGGCCATCTTTTGGAGAAGTAGACACTGAAAATCCTATGGAGCATAGTTTACTCTGACACATGGTCACCATGAGTTAAAACTCACAAAATGGACACTGGTTTAAATTCCTAGGACACTAGCAGAACCCAAGGGTATGAGAGCAAGTGAGGGTAAAGCATTAGCCCAAAGCCCACCTCCATGCATATCTGAAGACTCAGCTTCACGGAGCCAAGAAGCTCTGGCCTTTTGTCTGGTTCAAGTGTCTGGGGCTCCTTCAGAAAGGAGCCCTGGTGGCATAAGGTGTTAGGTGTTGAACAGCTAACTGAAAGATTGACAATTCAAACCCACCAGTTACTCCTCAGACAAAGATGGCCCCGTCTACTGCTCTTAAGACGTACAGTCTTGGAAACCTGATGAAGGCTTGCCATGAGTTGGAGTCAATTTGAAGGCTATGGGTTTGGCTTTAAGTTTTTGGTCCCTCCAAGCTGGCTGGTCCCAGGCTGGGGCTGAGCGTAAGGACTTCCTCAGCTCTGTTCCCTCCTTGCTGTCCTTCTGCCCTCCACCTCAGGAATCAGCTTCCTGACATTTTTCTTCTTCTTAGCTAAAACTTTCCCCTGGCATCCAGGTCTGGAAGGGATGCCCCGCCTGCAGTTTCTGGAGCCCATCCAGATGCTTCTGAAGATGCTGGTTGACCCAGCCTTGCAGGGGAAAAGGAGAAGATTCAAGGCCGAGGGAGTGGCATGGGGGTGGAGCCTCACCTGTTTATAGGACTGTGACTGCTTTGAGGTTGGCAGCGTCACAGTCAGTCTCAACTCGGGATAGTCCCTGCCACCCTGCCAGGAGCAGGCTAGCCTGGAGTGGAGCAGAAGGAAGGGTTGACATGGACAGCCTGTCACCTAGGCAATCACCTGGCCAGCCTCACCAGGTAATAACATTTGCCAAATGGCACCTTCAGGGGAGAGTTGGGGCCAGGATGCATCCTGAGAAGCTTGGAACAGTCGTAATCATATGCTTCTGGTCTTATGACAGGATCTGGGTCCCCTACCTGGGAGGATGGCCTAAGCAGAGAGGCAGAGGCTGGAATCAGAGGGTGAGGATGGTATACTTGGGGGTGTGGATAGGTAGAGATAGATGAGGAAGGTTAGACACATGAGTCTGGAACACAAAGTCTGGTCAGTCAAGGCCTCTTCCTCCCTTGAGTCTTAGAGTCCTTTTTTCCTCCATATACATGGTTTCACACACCCCGTCAGTGAGCAGAGGTGGCTGCATGCCATAGAAGAAGACCACCAGGTCCACAGCCCAGCACTGTGGGCTGACTGAAAGACTGACATTTCAAACCCACCAGTCACTGCTCAGACACTGCAGCCTTCAGTATGGACTGAGGCTCAATGTCAAGAAGACAAAGATTCTCACCACTGGACCAATTGGTAGCATCAGGATGGATGACGAAGAGATTGAGATTGTTCACAGCTTCAGTTTGCTCAGCTCCACGGTCAACACTCTTGGCACCAGCAGGCAGGGAATAAAAAATCGTATTGCGATGGGAAAGTCTGCTGTTAGGGACCTCTCTAAAGTACTCAAGAGCAATGGTGTCTCTCTGGAGACTAAGGTGCGCCTGATACAGGCCATGGTCTTTGCAATCACTTGTTATGCATCAGAGAGTTGGACAATGACTAGGGAGGACAGAAGGAGAATTGATGCCTTTGAGCTGTGGTGCTGGAGAAGAGTATTGAATGTACCATGGACTGCCAAGGAAACAAACAGATTCATCCTGGAGAGGGTTAAACCAAGCTACTCCTTGGAGGCAAGGATTCTGGGGCCTCGTCTGACATACTTTGGGCATGTTGCAAGGAGGGACAGGTCCTTGGAGAGGGCCATCATGCTTGGGAGGGTGGAGGGACGGCGCAAGAGGGGAAGACCCTCTATGAGATGGATTGATTCAGTGACTGGGGTAATAGGGATGGGTGTGTCAGAGGTAGTGCGATTGGCACAGGATAGAGCAGGGTTTAGGGCTATTGTACATAGGGTTGCTATGAATCGCAAAAGACTCGACGGCACATAACAACAACAACAACAAAAACAATGCCCCTTAAGGCTTACAGCCTTAGAAAATTTACAGTCTTAAATTGAGGGTCAGCATAAATTGAGAGATCACCATTGAGAGCAAATCTCAGGTAAGACTACTGGACTTTAGTACTCTCATGAGAAAATAATTATGTAGGCTAGGTCGTATAGCCCTGGTGTGTCCACTTGCCATATAGCTGTAACTTGTGGTTGCTGTGAGGCTGAACACTGACACTGATGCGTCAAATGCGCTAATAGTTGTGCAGACAGTGTGGGGTGGAGCTCCCTGATTAAAATAAGCTTGGAAGCAGGAGTGGCATCCACTTCCGTAATAGCTTGCCTCTGGAAACCCTATGAACCTGGAGAGAGGATGAAAGACACCCAAGAGTTGAGGACTCTCCTTCATAGGGTTGCTGTGAGTCACCTGTGACCCGACAGCACCTAAAAACTAACAAATAATATGCTAATTAGTTCAATAACATTTTAGTTAAAAACAAGCCTATGGAATTCTAGTATATAGATAGCCTCAGGACAGAGGAGGGAAAGTGGCATGCTTTTACAAAAAGTTACAGAGGCTATGAGTTTTGGCTTTGAACACCTGGGGTTTTTGACTCTGTGACCTACCAACCCCGTGATCTTACATGAGCTTCTTAACCTTTCTGTGCCTCAGTTCCCTCATGTACGGTATGGGGAGGAATGAAGGTACTGTGTTATGAATTTGTTGGATGGGCAAATCAAGTCATGAGCTTTGTTCAGCACCTAGAAAAACATAGGACTGAATTCAAAACTCATTGCCATCAAGTCAGAACTGACTCATAGTTGACCACCCATCCAGTTTTCAGAGGCTGAAAAAATCATCTGGGGGGAGATTGCCCATCTTTCTTCCGAGAAGCAGCCAGTCGACTGGAACTACCTGCCTCTGAGTTGGCAGCACAACTTCTTATCCACTAGGCCACCAGAGCTCAGAAACATAGCAAGTACTCCCCAAATGATAGTGAGAACAATGATCTTTTTGTAAGAATTCTAAAGCTATTATCATTTTCAGCCCTAGAACATCATTGGAGGTCAAAACTATTGTTATTCCCATTACAAATGAAGCAACAGAAACACAGAGAAGTTAAGTAACTTGCCCAAGGTCACACAGCCAGTAAGTGACAAGGCTAGGATTTAAATCCAGACAAACTGGCTCCAGACTTCTAACCACTACATCTACTGCTTCCTAGTAGGGACTAATAATTATTGCCACAGCTTCAGTGTTCTATGTTAGTAGGAGTCTTAGAAGCAAAGAGAATTGGGGTTTCACCTTAGGACCAAAAATACCCTGTCAGAGAAATGTGGCTTTTCTGAGAGAAAGGGGTGCTCAATAACAGCAGGATAAATGGGCAACCCTGTTTGAACCGGTGATAGTGACTGGTTAGAAGTGGGCAACTGGGAACATGTTTAGTAGCCCAAGGTGACATTAGCTCATCACCCCAGGCTGTGGACGAATGGACATCCCCTGACCTGGCTGTAAGAGCAAAGGGGAGCACATTTGAGTCTTCCTTCATTTTTGAGTGAGATATAAAGGGAAACGCCCTCCAGGGTTCCAGATCCATTATCTTTCCTGTGAGACAAAGTTGAGGAATCTGGGTGTGGGGAGGAAATGAAGCCAGATGTTTAAAAATTCATTCACTCTCTGACAATGACACTTACAGCTTAAGGCTCACAGGATTGAAAATTGTCACTCCCCAAAAAGCAGGAGTGGATTATCCAATAAGCAAGCTAAATTAGGCTTATTGTGCATACTCTTGAACATTTCACAGGGATTTCTTCCCATTGTGACACCAAAGATGTGGTGAAACTGCTCAGCAGAGATTAGTAAACCCAAGTTTAAACCTTGCTCATGGGATACTCGGTCCTTTTCATAGATTGTAACTTTTTTTTTTTTTTAGTAAAAATGCATATATTAGATTGTAACTTTAAATAGAAGTTTTCCATCTCTAGAAGCAAAGTCTGTGATGCTGTGAAAAAAATGTGAAATTGTTCACCACAGATTGGTAAATAAGCACAAGTAAGGCCATGCTTACCATGATAACCTGGTAATCCAATACTGCCAAGAAGGGCATCTACCTTCCTGGTGTGAGAGGCGTGTCACGAGTGGTCTGCTGGAAAGCTGACAGAAATGGTGGAGACCCCATGGTCTCTTCTCAACTTTGTGTGAGATACAGAGAAGGAAGATGCAGGGAGTCACAAGAGGAGGGTGAGGACCCCAATCTATGAGCAGCTTTGTTGTCGTCCCGCCATCTGTAATGTCCTCTCTGGGGAGGCGAGAGATGGGTGTTTAAGAACATGAGACTAACCCCCATCCACAGTCATCACCTTGGACATCCGTGCAGAGCAGACCAGATCAGTTCTTGATGTGAGCTGAGACTACCTCACATGCGCAGAGGCTTACAGAAGCAAGACTGACTGAGAGCGTGCAAAACAGAAAACAACTCAGCCAGTCTCTCCCAAGCACACACGTCAGAGATCCACCACTCAATCCCTAAACCCTCTCAGAGTGGACACAGAGGTGGTGAAGAGGGTAAGAAGCCGACAAGACCTTAGTGGTGGTGTTGTTAGATGTTGCTGAGTCAACGCTGACTCAGAGTTACTCTTGGTAGAACACATCTAAACCTTGCTGGGTCTTCTTCTTGTGTACCATTGAGCCAGATCCAATTCATAGCTGACCTTCCAGTGGGTTTTCAGAGACTTTATATCGCACAGGAGGAGATTGCTCATCTTTCTTCTGAGGAACATCCAATGGATTCGAACTAGTTGCCTTTGGCTGTGAAATTTCTTACCACTAGGCCACTCACCAGAACTCCTTTGCCTGATCTTAATGTGAGTTAATTCTGGATGCAGAGCCTTCTGCGTGTGAGGAACCCAGCACAGGTGTCTCCTCTCATGGGAGTATTCATGGGTTCTTCACCAGGATTGCCGTTTTGCACGATTTCAGGCATTGCTGTTTCATACATATGTATGAGAGGTCTCACCCTGCGGTCCTGCAGGGTCTCTTCCTTGCTGAGGAGGGGTCTCCTGTTGTACCATGTCATGCTGCAGACAGTTCTCTTCCCTGAAAATTGACCCTCCATTACCTGTTGGGCATTTCCAGCCCGCGCAGGCTCTTCCTACTGCACCCCGTTAGTGGCCATGCACCATACAGGTGTCCCTCTTGGGCAGGATCTCATTCAAAACTACGTTCTCTATCTACTGTCCTTAGCGCAAGCACTTCTTGTCCTTCCAGACTATTTGAATTATGTCAGTTTAAAGACTAAGGTGTACCTGAGTCAGACCATTGTCCAATCCAGTACCATTTTCATAACATCTGATGTTCTCAAACCCATTGTTACAGTCAATGTATCAATCCATTTCATTGAGGATCTTCCCCATCTTTGCAAACCTTCTACTTTTCCAAGCATGATGCTCTAGAAACCAGCCCCACCTGGCAACATATCCTAAGTATGTGAAACGAAGTCTCACCAGCCTTGTTTCTAAGGAGCATCCGGCTCTACTTCTTCCAAGACAGAATTGTTTGTTGTTTTGCTAATCCAGTCAATATTCTTCGCCAACAGCACAACTCAAAGGCATTGTTCTTTGATCTTCCTTATTCATTGCCCAACTTTCACACATATATGAAGCAAACAGAAATACCATCATTTGTGTAAGATTCTTCTTAGTCTTTAAATTGACATCTTTATTTTTACACACTTTACAGGTCCTTGGCAGTAAGGTTGCCTAATACAATACATTGTTTGATTTCTTTTGTTGTCATTTGCATGAAAGTTTACATCACTTGACTTCTTGGTTGCTACTTCCCTGGATGTTGACAGTGAAATCAAGTAATATGAATTTTTTTACAATTTTCATCTTTTCTCCATTTATCATGATGTTGCTTATTGGTCCATGTTGCAGTATTAGTCCAGTATAATCTATACGAAAGGTTTTATCATCTTTGAGCTTTCTCAGTAAGTGTTTTAAGTCTCCTTTGCCTTTTGCATGCATCACTTAAAATGTTAGATTCTGTTAAGTTTCCCACAACTCAAAGTGACCCTATGAACAGCATAAAAGAACCTTACCCTATCCTGTGCCATGCCGTGCTCTTCATCATGCTCAAGCCTGTTGTGATAGTCACTGCTCCAATTCACTTTGCTGAGGATCTTTCTCTCTTTTGCTGGTTCTCTACATTTCTCAGCATATCTTTCTCCAAGGCCTGGTGCTTCCTGACCACACGCCCAAAGCATGTGGGCAAAGTTTCACGATCCTTGCCTCTAAAGAGCAACTTGGTTGTACTTCCTCCAAAACAGACTTATTTTTTCTTTTGATAGTTCATGGAATATTGAGTACTCATCTCACACTTTAAGGCAGCGATTTTTCTTTGATCGTCTTTATTAATTGTCTAACTTTCAGATGCATAGGAAGCAATTGAAAGCATCATGACTTGGATCAGGTACATCTTAGTCTTTGTACTGATCGCCTTGCTCTTTATCACTTTAAGAGGTCTTTGACAGCAGATTTCTCCGAGCAAACCTATGGATAACAGAAGAACATTACCTCACATGCTGTTGTTATGTGCCATTGAGTTAGAACCAACCCATAACTGACCCTCCAGTGGGTTTTCAGAGGTTATAATTTGCATGAGGGAAGAGTGCCCATCTTTCTCCCAAGGAGCAGCTGGTAGATTTGAACTGCATACTTTTGGGTGGGCAGCACAACTCCTTACTAGTAGGCCATCAGAACCCTCTTACCTCAAAGTGTTGTTGTTAGGTACTGTTCAGTTGAGTATGACTCATTGAGACCCTATGAACAACAGATCTGAACCTTATCCTATCCTGTGCCATCCTCACCACCTCTGGCACACTTGATTTCTTTGCTGCAGTCACTGTGCCATTCCACCTAGTTGAGGGTCTTCTTCTCCTTCTCTGACCCACCACCTTCCCAAGCATGATGTCTCTCTCCAAGAAATAACTTCTCTTAGCAATGTGTACAAAGTATGTGAGACTAAGCCTCATCAATTTTGCCTCCAAGGAGCACTCTGACTACACCTTCTCCAAAACATATCTATTCATTCTTTTGGCACTCTTCTCCAAGACTACAATTCAAAGGCCTCAATCCTTCTTCTGTCATCCTTAGTCATTGTCCAGCTCTCAGTTGCATAGCAAGTGACTGAAAAGACCGTGGCCTGAATCAGGCACACCTTAGTCCTCAAAATGACATCATTGCTCCTCAATAATTTGAAGAGATCGCTAATTACAGAATTTCCCAGTCTAATACATCTCCTGATCTTTCAACTGCCAGTGTCAAGTATATTGGTTGTGGATCCAAGTAAGATGAAGTCATTGACAGTATCAATCCTTTCTCTATCCATCATGACATTCAGCTCACTTCCTGGTCACAAGGGCAGCAGGCTCATAGGCTTCATTTCCTTCCCGGAAGCTCTGGGTGGCAGACTCCAAATGGCATGTCCAGTAGGGCAGGCGAGTTCAGGCCTTCAGATTTTCTCTCTCACCACTACCTATACTACCTATACACTCCCACCCCTGATGGGATGTTTTCCACAAATCTTGCCCCTTGAGGGTGTGATGTACCCTTCTCATGACTTCACAAGCAACGGTGATCAAAGGCTTCTTGGTCCCCAGAAAGCTTTCCCAGGGTCTGAAGTGGATCAACACCACCATGGGTCTGAGGAGAAGCCTCAGCATGGACTGGTGGGGTGTGCACAGCTAGAGTCACCAGGATCACAGCAGGGAGGTCAGGGCCAAGGAATGAGCAAGAGGGACTCAGTGAGCTGGTGCTTCTTCCCAGGTGACCTCCCCCTGCTGGCAGCTCACTGTGAAGATCCTGGAGGCACGAAACCTGCCCTGGGCTGACTTGTGTGAGTAACAGAGTTCTGGGCTCCGAGAGGCGGATAGAGGTGACCAGGTCCCATGATAAAAGGCCAGAGAAGAGTTTTAGAATTGGCTTTGGTGGCTTATGGAGCCTCTGGAGTCTTGGTAGAAGCTGGAAAGGGGTCCGGAGAGCTTTTTCTCACCACTTTCTCTTGCCTGGCAGTAAGCGAGGCTGACCCATACGTGATCCTGCAGCTGTCCACTGCACCTGGAACTAAGTTTAAGACCAAGACGATCACCAACTCTGACCACCCTGTATGGAATGAGACTTTCACCTTCTGTATCCAGAACCAGGTCAAGGTAAAGACTGTGGTCCCCTTAACCATAAATCATACTCACTACAAGGTGATTTCTTGGTGAAGAACACCTTTCTTTCAGACTCAGTGAAACCTGGAGAGAATATCTTTCCGTGCTCAGCTTGAATGTGAATGTGCAAGGCATACATTCACACATTTGTAAACTGTTTGGTTGTTTTTTATTTCATTCACAATCATGTGTAAGCTGATTGGTCACCTGGATTTAACAATCAGCTGTGGGCTGGAAGGCTCTTGTTTAAGTCAATCTGGACCTGGTGGGTGGACCTTTGTATTTAAAAGTTGGCAGGGCTTTCGGGCCTGCGACCCTCAAGCCTAAAGTTATTTGTGTTTGGGAAGAACATTATTCTAAATGGTACAGTACTGGCCTGTCAGTTACTTTACTAAGATAATTTGGGGTTGCGGGGATACTGAATGTTGTGCCTCTAGTGTGTCACATGGCCATAAAGCTTATCCATGGTGGACAGGGTTTGGTAGAGCTCCCAGATTAAGAAAGACTCAAAGCAGAATTTGCATCCACTTCTTAAACAACAGCCTTTGGAAACTGTGAATATTAGAGAAACAACAATAATTATAGAAGAAGGTTTCAGGTATTGTTTTCATAGGGTTGCTAGGAGTCATACTTGACTCAATGGCACTTAACAACAACAACAAATTCACATATTTGTGAATATATGTGAATTTATGGTTCTTGCACCACCTGGTTGTGTGACTCACCTCAGGCCAGTTGCTTCTTCTCTAAGCTCATCTCTGAGTGGAGACAATAAGTATCTCCTCTTGACTGAGTCATTGTGAGGTTAGAAGAGAGACTGCATGGAAAATTAAGCCTGGCACCAGAAGTGTATCTAAGTATGGCAGGTATGGCTTGTGTTCTGGGTACCACTTGAGGTGGACACACTGAGTAGTCTCTATTGGCCATCAAAGTTTACATCACCAGCTGTGAGAGAGCAATTAGCAATTTAAAAGTAATTTCCATAGGCATTGTTTTTGCTAAATGTGCTAGTATCTGTATTTTCCTCTTCCAGAAAACATAGTATGTCATAGGGGACTAGCAAAGTAGAGTAGGGAGGGAAAATCTTTGAAAAAAATTTAAATTTTGATTTAAAAAAATTAAGAGGGAGAATTTAGGAACATTGTCAGATTTCCTTACACTTTAAGTTCCACGGTCATTTTAAATTTGAAGTACAAAGGATGCAGTTATTTCTCCAGCACAGGATTCAACATATGTGTGCTATTGTTGCCATGTGCACAGAACATGCTAATTTACTCTTCTCGGGTCTTCAGAATGTTCTGGAACTGAGAATCTATGATGAGGACTCAATCAAACAGGATGATCTCCTCTTTGAGTTTCTCTATGATGTCTCAGAAGTCCTTCCTGGCAAGCTACTCCAGAAGACCTTCACTGGGAGTCCCATGGTGAGTGAGGAAGTCCCTTCCAGGCCCTCCTCTCTCACATCCTGAATGAGGAAGTTGTGCAGTTTCCATCATCTGGTGGCATACTGCTGGATCCAACTCACGCACAGAATGATGGAACTGACTCACGCAGATAATTTGTATTTTTGTAAGAAGGGAGAACACTTGACCTTCTGGTTAATGAATTTTTGCCCTCTGTGGAAGGAAGTTGGAAAACTTCCTAATGCCCTTCAAAACACAGTTCCATGTAGCCACACATGGGGGGCATTGTGAGCTCTCTCATTCCTGATTATGGCCTGATCCTCCATGGTGCTCAAGGTCTGCGTGAAGATCTCTGTGCTCTCTCTCCAAGAGGGTGACTCTCATAGAGTGCATGGGCCAAGCTCTAGGGCCTGGAGTCTCCATAGTAAAAAGAGAAAAGATTGCTGATTAACCTTAAGATCCTATCAGTCTGAGTTTTTTACTTCCCCTGAGTCTTGCCCACAGTTTTGGTGCTCAAAAAGAGGCCAGAGGCAGTATCTGTTTTTTGCAGGCTTATGAGCTGTAAGTTCCTTCATCTATGAAGTGAGAATAATTATAATACAATGTCTACTGTAAAGCCTGTTTGAGATGATGAGCTAATGCACACAAAAGCACTGTCAACTCTAAAGCTGCGTGCAAATGTTGATGACTTGTTCACCCACATTAATTTCAGGTGGAGCTGGACGTGGAGTTCCTGGCAGAGAAAATGTGAGTGCTAACACACAGCCAGGGAGTGTCAGGGACTCAGACTCTAGGAAGGGAGAGCTTTGATTCTGATGCAGATCCTTTGATGGGTCAATCCAGTAAAAATTCATTGTCTCTCTTGTTTCCAATTCTTCCAGAGAAGTCTAGGTTGAGGGAATCTTTTCTTGAGAAATGAGGAAAGAACAGTCAATGTTTTCTCCATCCTACTCTGTCTTCACCCACCCACCTTCTGAAGCTTCTTACTTTTATCCTGAGTCTTAGAGATCCTCAGAATCACCCAGAGACTCCCCTCCATGGGCTGGAATTTTTACTGTGAGGGGTGCAGGGTAATGCAGGATGCATTTGCCTTTCAAGGCCAAACTCTGGATGATTTAATTTTTTTCCAGATTGGACCTCCCAGAGAACCTCATCACCAACAACGTGCTTGTGGTAATCATTCTCTGGGCTTAGGAGGGAGAACTGACACTGGGATAGGATGAGCCCAGGAGAGGTCCTGGGGTGGGGGTCACAGGGAGTGAGGCAAAACCAGGGACTTGTGTTAAAAGCACGTCAGTCCTTCCAGAGTACCCTCTGGAGCTGTGGTCAGAGGCAGTGGGGTTTGAGATGATTGGCTCAAAGGGAACAGGGAAAGAGGGGAGGCAGAGGCTTTGCCAAGAGGGTGCTCTAGCTGAGATACTATTAGAGGAATTTTAAGCTTTTCTTGATCATATTTCATCACAGGCTATGAACTCAGTTTTTAATATTCAGAGAGTGATGATGTAATCATGCAGGCCAGGTCTATCTTCAGCTTACAACTGAAATAACTGGGGCTCAGAAGGAATTTCTAGGGTTCTGCGTTCCATTCTCAGAGATTTGGATTGTCTTTGGGACAGTGCCTACTCTTGGTCAGCTGTGCAGTGAACAAGTATGACCACTAGGTGGAGGGTCCTGCATTAGAGGCTTTCTACTTAAATGTGGTCCTGGTGCTCTAGCAGTGTGCACAGGCCCTGGAAGAAGGACCTGTATCAAGATCAGGCAATTGAAGTGTCTAGGGCACAAAATGTAAGGTGTCACTTACTTTCAGCATCATGACGGATGAACTAGTGTTGCTTTTTCCAAACCTTGTTATTGAGTACCATTAAATTGGAACAGACACACACACACACACACACCCCACACCACACCCCCCACTGGGTATTCAGAGGCAGTTAATCACAGGGAAGAAGATTGCCCAACCTTCTTCTGTGGAGCAGGTGATGGATTCAAACTACACGCCTTGATGATTGCAGTGCAGTTTCTTATCACTACAAATACAAATAAATTCATGTATTTGGCTCTTACCTGAGGACTAGATTGAGAAATTTAGCAGATGACCAGTAGAAAGTTAGAGTACCAAGGTGGTGCAAAAAATTAACATACTTACCTGCTGAGAAGTTGGACACTCAACACACAATTCTCTTCAGACACACAATTCTACTCAAACACATATGTGATCTCCCTGAGTTAGAGTCAATGCTATAGCAATGGTAACTGGCATGGAAAAGGGTCAGTGGCAAGAGTTCAGTGAACTATGGGGCCACAGAACAGTGCTGCATGCTTTATAAGAGAATTTAGAAAGTACAGTGGGTAAGCCAGTGAAGCACAGAACAATTACGAGATATTCTAGCCATTGACATTTACATGTCCGTCTAGTCCATTAGTCTAGAAGCCAGTGCACAGAAGCATAGCACTAACTGAGAAATGTTTCAGTGAAACACAGCCTCCAGATTTAGGCTACAAAAGAGACATGGTGAAGAAAGAAGTGTGCCTGACACTGGAGTTTTCAGAGATTTCAGAACTTTGCAAAACTGGAAAGGCTCAAGAAGGTGGTGGATGCACGGGCCAAAGAATGGCATGGAACAGAGACGGGAAGTGGGGCTTCTGCATCCAGTCCCACACTGGGCTTCCTGTTCAGTGTGTGGAGAGTTTAGGACACTGAATTTTGGCCTTCTGTCCTTGATATGGTCCCCAGGCTCGAGAACTGTCATGCCTGCATGTGCATCTGTACAGCACTGGAAGCGTGGTCAGGACCCCAGGTGAGACCTGCTTAGAACTAGCTTTGGGCTTTGTCTGGACCCTGCAGGTGAGAGCAGGGGCTAGATGAGGACAACTGAGAGACCTGAGAAGGGTGGTGAGCAAACAAGGCACAATCTGCTTCTCCTTTCTCTCCACTAAACAACAGGAGGGTCCCTGACCTGGGGGAGAGTGTGGTACAGGGGGGTGGAGGGTGAGGGTGGGAGCCTCATGGAAATTGTGAAGCCCAACAGGCTGGGAGGGCTTTATTTCAGAATTCTCTTTACTGTGAAAGAGCTTACTGGGCCTCAACTATGTATAGACATGACTCCTGGTCTCGTGGGTCTGAATATGGTTCTTAACTCCCCTTATAATAAGAAACCCTAGCAAGGACCCTTCTTGCTTGACCTGCTCACTCTTGCCTCCAGAGCAGGAAAAACTGCAGCTGGAACTGGTGCTGAAGGGGTCATATGAGGATACACAGATACTGACCTTGGGTTCAGCCTCCACCTTCCTCTTCTACTACCTGACAGCCCAGGAGACAGAGCTGAGCGGACGTGTACGGGTGAGTCTTCTACCATCCTTTCCTTTGGTCAGTTTCAACTGCCTCAGTTACTGCACTCCCTCCTTGGCCTTCCCTCCGCCAGTCTGCCCCCAACCCCATGGTTTTGTCATTGACAGCTGACATCAAAGACTATCAGAGGCTGAAGAAGTGCTGGGAGGACATTATAGCCATGCCAGTCTTTGTTTAAACCCTACAGTGTTCCCCTTACTAATGCCCTTAGATTAAAAAATGTTGTCTGTGGGCCAGTAGGTCCTGTGTAGTCTGGCCCCTGCTCACTTCTGCTGCCTCATTTTGTTTCATGATCAGACTCATTTGTGATGCTCCAGTCACTTTTATGTCTTCTTGCTTTTCCAACATGACAAGTAGTTTCCATGCCCTCTGGTTCCCTCAACTCTTCTCCTTCCTCTTCCTTCATATCTCATCTCCAAGGGCACCTCTTCAGAAACTTATTCCTTGACATCTCACCTGAAACATACCCCATACACTCTGTCATGTCATACAGCTGATTTCCTTTTAACACGTGTGGTTATGTGTTGTCAAGTCACTTGTGACTCATAGCGACCCTATATACAACAGCTCTGAATCCTGCTCTATCTTGAGTCAACCTTATTGTCTCTGCACACCTATCCCTACTATCCCAGTCACTGAATTAATCCATCTCATTGAGGGTCTTCTTCTTTTGGGGTATTCCTCCACCCTCCCAAGCATGACATCCCTCTCCAAAGACTGGTATTGCCTTGCAAGATGCCTAGAGTATGCCAGATGGAGCTTTGGAATGCTTGCCTTCAAGGAGCAGCCTGGTTTCACCCTCTCCAGGATGAACCTGTTTGCTTTCTTAGCAGTCCATATTATATTCAGTACTCTTTTCCAGCACCATAGCTCAAAGGCATCAATTCTCCTTCTATCATTCCTAGTCATTGTCCAGCTTTCTAATGCAAAGCAAGTAATTGCAGATGTCATGGCTTGGATCAGGAGCACCTTAGTCTCCAGACTGACATAGTTGCTCTTCGGTACTCTGGAGAGATCCCTGACAGCAGACTTTCCCCATACAATTCATCTTTTTGATTTCCTGGCTGCTGGTAGTAAGAGAGTTGATTGTGGAGCCAAGCAAATTGAAACTGTTAACAATCTTAATCTCTTCACCATCTATCTTGATGCTGCCTATTGGCCCAGTGATGAGAATCTTTGTCTTGGTGTTGAGCTTCAATTTATATTGAAGGCTGTAGTCCTTGATCTTCTGCAGCAAGTGCTTCAGGTCCTCCTCAGTTTCAGCAAGCAAGATTGTGTCTTCTGCATAACGCTAATTGTTGATGAGTCTTTCTCCAATACTGATGCCACATACCTCTTCATAGAGCCCAACCTCCTGGATGATCTGTTTCACATATAGATTGAAAAGGTATGGAAGTAGGACACGTCCCTAGCATACATCACTTTTTTCTTTTTTTCCCCTCACAAATTAATACAAGTAATTTAGTTAGAGTAATACCTCCGCACTAAATAACCATTAGCAATAATTTGTTTCAGTTGTCCATCATTTCAGATGCGGATGACCAGGCCTACTTTATATTACCACCCACTGCCCTTGAGTCAGTTGTGACACAAAGCAACCTTCCATTGGGGTTTCAAGGCTGTAAATCCTTAGAGGAAGAGATAGCCCATCTTCTCCTGAAGAGTGACTGGGTTGTTAGCAGGCTGACACGTTATGTTCTATGCCACTGGAACTCTGTCTTAGTCTGGAAGTTCCACTGAAATCCACCCACTCTGTGTGACCCTGCTGGTGTTTGGAATACCGGTACTGTAGCTTCCAGCATTATAGTACCAACACATGCAGCAAACGGGCAGATAAGTGGTTGGAAAGCTCTATGAAAAACAGCAGAACTTTGTCTGATCTAGTGTTTGAATATGAGGCCTTCAGAGTGGAAGACACTAAATAAACAAGAGGGAATCCTTTTCTGGTTCATGAGTATGATAATTGGGTGTTCATGCTTTTGTATGACGTGTGCCTCCCTTAAACCTTGTTACGACATGGTCACATTACCCCTCTGATGTGGAAAACAAAAAAGGACAAGAGGAGAAGAACTGCCTCCTCAAAGAAGAGTTCACCTTAATCATGTGGGTGGAGTAAATATGCCAGAAAATGAAGGACCTTCATTAGTTGGTCTGGCACATCTAAAATGTAGAGAAAGAGCTGCAAACGTCCATTAATAATTAGAATGCCAAATGTATAAAGCATAAATCTTGGAAAATTGGATGCTGTAAAAAAATTACATAAAATGCATAAAGATTGAAATGCTTGGCATTAGTGAGAGGAAATGAAGTGGCACTGGCCATTTTGTGTTGGACAATTGTATGGTCTACCCTGCTGGAAATGACAGACAGATTGAAGAGGAATGACATCACATTCATGGTCCAAAAAATTTCAGATAGATAAACTAGTAAATTCACACAGTAGAGTACTTTGAAACATTGAAAAAAAAAAGAAAGAAACAGTACACAATATGGATGAGTCCAGAGAACATTAAGTTGAGTGAAAAAAGACGGTCACAAAAGGATAAGATGAACTCAGAAAAAGCATGAGGAAAATCATTGCTGATGTCAGATGGATCTCAATTGAAAGCAGAGACTACCAGAACACAAATGCTTATTTGTGTTTTATTTACTATGCAAAGACATTTGACTGTGTGGATCATAACAGATTACAGCTAACATTAAGAAGAATGATAATCCCAAAAGACTTAACTGTGTGCATAGAAACCTGTACATAGACCAAGAAGATGTTGTCTGAACAAAACAAGAAAACACAGCCCAATTTAAAATCAGTAACTTTGTGCATCAGGGTTGTATCCTTTCTTCATGCTTAGTCAATCTGTATGCTGAGAAAATCATTCAAGAAGTTAGACTATATGAAGAAGAATGTGGCATTAGAATTGGAAGAAGATTCAACACTGAGTTATGCAGATGACACAACCTTGTTTGCTGTACGTGAAAAGGATTTGAAACACTTGCTGAAGAAGATCAAAGACTACAGCCTTCAATATGTACTACCTCTCAAAATCAAGAAAACAAAAATCCTCACCATTGGACCAAAAGACAACATCATGATAGATGGAGAAAAGATTGAAGTTGTCAATAATTGTATTTTACATGGATCCACAATCATACTTACGGTAGCAGCAGTCAAGAAATAGAAAGATATGTTGCACTGGGAAAATCTGCTATCAAATACCTCTCCAAAGTGCTCATGAGCAATGATGTTAGTTTAAAGACTAAGGTGCACTTGATCCAAGTAAAAGTTTTTCCAATTACTTCCTATTCATCTGAAAGTTGAAACTATCAAAAGTTGGACTATGAATAAGGATGACAGAAGAAGAATCAATACCTTTGAGTTGTGGTGTTGGAGATGAAAGTATGGACTGCAAAAACAACTAACAAATCTACCCTGGAGGAAGTGGAGTGAGAGTGCTCCTTAGAAGCGTGGATGGTGAAACTCCATTTAACATGATCTGGTCTTGTTGTAAGGGAAGGCCAGTACTTGCACAAAGGTCATGCTGGAAAAAGTGGAGGATCAGGGAAAGAGAAGACCTTCATTGAGGTAAATTGACAAGTGACTATAGACTCCAGTATATTAGAGATGTGAAGATGGCATTAGATAGGATGAGGTTCAGGCCTGTTGTTGATAGGGTCACTTTGTGCCATGGTTGACTCGTTGACACCTAAAAACAACAGCAACAATGGACTGGAGCACATGAGAGATCTTGAGGATGGTACAGAATAGGGTAAGGTTCACACCTGTTGTTCATAGAGTCCCTATACATAGTAGTCAACTCAATGACACCTAAAAACAAAAACAAACCAGTAGCAACATTTTTTTTAAAAAAACACATTTATTTTATATTGATATGCTTACAGAGTTCAATTGTGATTCACACTATCCTTCATTCAGTGTGCTTCATACAATCATTTCCATTCACTATGTTTTATACACCATTGAACTTGTTTTATACACCATTGAACTATGTCTAACATTACCCTGTCTTTTCATATCCCTGCTGGATCTTCCTCATTTCTTTTACTGTGTCCCTATCAAATCCTGCGTCCCTCTGATTTCCACCCTGCCCATCCTTACCCCTTAGCTCCCACCTTCCCCTGACTGGATCCTCATAAATGTCTTACTAGTTGTTTTTCTATTTCTACAATAATGGTCTTATGCAGCATTTTTCTTTATGAGACTGAGTTAGTTCACTCAGCATAATGCTCTGCAGTCTCTCCCAAGTTATGTAGGAATTTCCAAAATCATTACTCCTGAGTAGCAGCAAAGTTTTTGTGATTGTTTTTGTAGTTAGTCAGTATCAGGGAGAGACAGTGTCTGTCTGAATTTCAGTTGTTGTTTAGTGCCATCTGAATTACTAGTTCTGTCTAAATGTACTGTAAGGATTCATTGAATGAATGTATGAGTGAGTATGAGTGAATAGGTGATCATTTTCTTTCAGAGCTCCACAGACAATGGCTGGAACTCACCAAGCTTAACTGACCAGTTTACTGTACCTTTGAAGCCCTTGACCAAGGGAAAGGAGATGACCATTGGTGTTCCTGCTCCGTATGTAAGTGGTTCAGACTGGATGAGTAGTGCCAGGAAGAATGAGAGGATGAGGGAATCCATTAGCCCCTGGGAACAACCATGTCCCCTTCATGGTCTAGAATACTCTGAAAGGGATCTTTTGCTTTGATTTTAGGCCCCAGGAGTGAGGCTACAGCTTAAGGCAAAGAGCTGGTAAGAGACATCCATATGTGTAAGGGGCTAAGTTGTGTCATGGGGAAGGGAAGTGCTGTGGAAAACGGTGGTCTTGAATTGGAGCAAGGAGGTAATCTGATTTGGTCCCTGACCTCTGGATCTTCCACTGCTTCAGCCCCAAGGATCTGGCTGTGCACCTGGGCTTCAACTTGTGTTCAGAGGAGCAGGCCTTCCTGAGTAGAAGGAAGCAGGTGGTGGCCAAGGCCTTGAAGCAGGTCCTACAGCTGGAGGAAGACCTGCAGGAGGATGAGGTTTGTGAGTGCCTTAGGGAATGCTTGCCAGCTATATCCTCTCATGGACATACACAGGAAAATATGGGGCTGTGGGCAAATATCAGGCTTCTCATTCCCTTTGGGGGTCTGTCTTATATAGGAGCTGTGTTCTAGCTCCAACTCTGAGAGGCCCCGAGCATGACATCCTACCTATTTCCTGGGTAAGTCAGGAGACAATTCTATCTTTGTAATCTGGTGTGTCTGTGTATGCTCCAGGTCCCTGTCATAGGCATCATGGCTATCGGAGGTGGTGCCAGGGCTATGACCTCACTCTACGGCCACCTGTTTGCCCTGCAGAAGCTGGGCCTCCTGGACTGTGTGACCTATTTCAGTGGCACCTCAGGCTCTACGTGGTGAGAACTCTGGGGCTAGCAGAGTTAACCAGGGCCCCAAGAGAGGAAAAACAGATGACAAGAGGAAGAGGACAACAGATGACTTCTGAGGAAGTCAAGTGGGTGTGGGTACTATGGTTTGATGAACATTAGAAGGCTCTTTCTAAATGAAGGAAACATTTGCAGGATTCTAGGACAGGGTTCAGATCTGTCATTCATAGGGTCACAATGAATTGTATTCAACTCAATGGCACTTAACGCCAACTTTGAACATAAGAATGCAAGCAATCTATTATCAAATTCAAAGACTGAGGTAGTTGAGTCAGAAAGAATGAGTTTGGATCTCAGCGCTACTATTTACTGGTTTGGTGACTTTAAACAAATTATCTTTGTTGATTCTCAGTTGACTTACTGACAAAGTGTGAAGAATAATACCATGTACTCCATTGAATTAAGTTCAATAACCCAAGTAAAATTCTTGACCTATAAGAAGCACTCCAATTTGGTAGTTCTTTTGCATTAATCTCACTCTCTGAGCTTGGTTCTCTTATTGGCCATAGAGTTATTGTTGTTCTTGTTGTGTGCCATCTAGTTGACTGCAACTTATAGCAACACTATGCCCTATTGCTCTGAACCCTGCCTTATCCTGTGCCAATCTTATTGACTCTGGCACCCTACTCCCAATTATACCATAGAGTAGAAATTACAAAATTGAAGTTAAGAAACATTCTTTTACCTAAGAACAAAATTACCTCCTTACACTTTCTACTCTACCTATGGAACACTTCACTTTTAGAGACTCCTTTCATTTATTTAATATTTTTTATTATACTAGTTTATTTATAAAATTCAAATATATTGTTTTTCAGACCAGATTCTTCCAATTTCCCTAACTTCCCCCATCAAATTACACACCCCCCTGATTAATCCACCCCTGCACATACTCATCCCTCTACTTCCACCTTCCCCCCTCACATTTGGATCCTCATACTCATTCTACAATAATGGTTTTATACAAAATTTGTCCTTGTAGGACTGAGTTCAGTTCCCTCAGCATAATGCTCTCCAGGTCCTCCCAAGCTAGGCAATAATTTACAAAATCATTGCTCCTACATGCCATGTAGTAGTCCATTATATGAATGTACCATAACTTCTCAGAGACCCATTCCTTTTCATTTTACTGAAAATGATTTTCAGGAATAAAAAGAAAAGCTGTTATTAGTTAAAACCTCAAGAGCTTAGATGATAGCTATTGACAGGAATAACTTCAAAGGACTCCAGACTAGACATGAAGACAGGAAGCAGAGTCTGGAACTCTTCTATAGATATAGTAGCCACTAGAGCATTATTGCCAGTCCAACTGGGGATGTGCTGTAAATATAAACGCTACAGTGAATTTTAAAGATTCCATTTTTAAAAGGAATGTACATTATGCCAATACATTTCTCTGCTGATAAATACACATACTGAGGGTTTCGTGTCAACCACATTAATAAAGCAAATATTGCAATAAAGTGAGTTACAAGACATTTTCAATTTTCCAGTGCATGTAAAAATGTTGTTTGCATAATACTCTAGTCTATAAACTATAGAATAGCATTATGAAAAAAGTCTGAAACATTAAGAATTTCCAAAATGTGGCACAGACAGAGAGTGAGGACATGTTTGGAGAAACGGTGTCAATAGACTTGCTTAACCCAAGGTTGTCCCAAACTTTCAGTTTATTAAAAATTGACAAACATGTAATATCTGTGAAGCATAGTAAAGCAGAATGCAACAAAATGAGTTATGTCTATGTCTTGAAATAGAAATGATATATGGCTATGTAGAATGAAGTACAAGAAGTTAGTAGACTTTCAAAAAAGCCTTTTTAATGAGACCATGAGAAAATTTTCAATTACATTTGTGGTTTATGTTATATTGTTGTTGGAGAGTGCTGCTATAGAAGAAGAAAAACCCCAAGAGACATAGTTTCAATATTTGGTGGTATTGGTCATGGGATCCTTGGTGGCAAAGAGGCACAAGAGCAAAGAGGAGTTACAATATCCACGCTAAGCCTCAGTCTCCTAGTGACCCTGTCCCCTGCTCCTCCAGGACAATGGCTCATCTGTACGGGAATCCTGAGTGGTCACAGCAGGACCTCCAGGGACCCATCCAGTACATGCAGGAGCATATGGCCAAGAGCAAGATGGAGGCCTTCTCCTCAGAGCGCTTGAGGAGCTACCACCAGGAGCTGAACCTGCGGGCCCAACAGTGGTACTCCACCACCTTTGTGGACCTGTGGGCCCTTGTGCTAGAGAACATGCTGCATGGTCAGGTATGCACACCTGAGCCCCGGAATGGAACCTGGGAGAAGGCTGGCACACCCAGACAGCTAATGAGGCACACCCATACATCCTGCCGGGTGAGAGAAGCCAGGGCCAAGTAGGTGGTTAAAAGTTGTTGGAATCCCCATGTGTTAGGGTCTTCCCAGGCTATATTCTCAATCAGTTACCTTGAAACAGAAATGGCTGGGTTTTCTAAGAGCCAGGGGTGAGTCAGGTCAAAGTCAGTTCTAAAAGCAAAGTGTTTTGCACTGGACCACTTTTACTTGTACTGAGACACAGTGTTCTAGGGTCAGAATAGTGGTGACTTTATTTCTGGATCTCCCTCACAGCATGATGGGTGATCAGGCCTGCATGGTGACTTCTGTTTCTTTTGCTCTAGAGGCATGTATCTTAGGATATTTTAGAGAAAAAGATCCAGTAAGATTGAAAGTGAGAGATTGTGGTGTCTGGCAAGTCCATATTCCACAGGCTACATGACAAGTTAGAGACTTATGAAAGTTGGTGTCCCAAGACCAGCAGGGCAAGTGATAGGAAAAATTCAAAGTGAAGATTAAGAGAAAGAAAGTTTTGTCAAAAACATATATTCTTAAGGCAGAGCACAACCTAAGGATATTACCCTTTTAACTGATTAGTTGGATTAATTCATTCACATTATGTAAGGTGATTACTTTTGATAGCCTTGCAAAATAGCAACTAGACTATTTTTACCAAGCCACTGGGAACCACAACCTAAATCAAGGCAACTTAAATTAATCATCACAGCATGCAAAACTTGAGGGCTAACTTTGCCAGAATCAACATATACCACTAGGGCAAAGTGTCTGGAAGCTCAAGTATCCATTTATATTTCTAGGCCTCATTTACCTTTAGATTTAATCCTCATGATTCTTTAATCTCTCAGTTGTACTTTAATGTTCATAAAATATTTTAAATTTTTTTAAAAATTAACTTTTCTAGTATTTTCAGTATAATGAGTTGTCTACATAAACACAACCCCCATCATTACCAGAAATGAATTTGTTCTACAAATCCTGTGGATCTATAGTTTGTTAGTGTTCAGTTTTGAAGATACTGTATTTTAGTAATTGACTTTTCTGCTAGGTGACAGCAATAGATTCACTGTAGAGTGAGAGATACTTGCTTTAACATAGATCCATGTTTAGAGGTACTAGAAAATGCAGTTTGATCCTAGGTGATGAAGAAGATTTTTGTTTCATTATTATTTCATCCACAGTTTTGGGGTACTGTTGAAGTGAAGTCAACTCATAGCTGACCCTCCAGCAGGTTTTCAGAGACAGTAATTTGCACAGGAGATTGTCCAGCTTTCTCCCATAGAGCAGCTAGTAGTTTTCAACTGAGTGACTTTGGGATTGCAGTGCAGTTTCTTACCACTAAGCCACCAGCACTCCCTTTCATCCAGTAGCCATCATTTTATTGCCACTTTTAAAGGTCCAAATCCAATTGGTTTCTATTGATCACTATAATAAGTAGTAGTATTATTTGATACATATGTGTTCTTTAAAATAAGCTGTCATGTGATTTTAAAAAAAATTCCCAATATGAAAGTGTTTCAATTTACTATTTACTTTTTTCTTAATTATCATGATTTACCTTCTATAACAATTGTTATAACAATTCTTGGATAACAAATCTTAAAGTTTTTAGATGAAACAAGTCCTCATTCTTGTTATACGGTACTAATCTAAGCATTTTTAAAATGCTAGAAAATATAACTCTAATAATGACAAGTTACAATTTAATTCATATTAAGGGTTAGAAAAATAGTTCATAATGTTGCTTCAGCTTTTTGAAAAACTATTTCTTATTTTCTAATCAAAACATATTTTTATTAAACAATTTGATTTTTACATCAATAAAATCTTAGATGTAATACTATATAGGTGCTTGAATAGCAGTTTAATTTGTATCAGAACAATTGTCAGGTATTCAAACATGCAAAGGATTCCAATTGTAAAATGCACCAGTTATATAGTCAGTGCCTCTCAATTATCTCTTTGAAACTTTTTAAAAAGTATTTTTCTGACAAACATTTAAATTCATGAAAGTTGTTCACCATTCCTCAAGGAGAATTTTATAATGTTTCCAGGTTTAGAAGGTCTTACATGCTATCTTCAACTTCAGACAAAAGATTTGATTATAACCATTAATCTCACCCTGTTCAATACTCAGACCACATCAGCACCCCAATGCTCCATCACCAATGCCCCAACTGTTTGGGTGAAACCCTTGAGTCCTCAGAATGACAGGGTTGAGGAGACTCACTGGAACCTAGGGGGCAGGACCTACAGTCCTACCTGCATCTTAAAAATCAACTGCTATTAAGTCAATTCTGACTTAAAGTGATTCTGCATGTCAGAGAATTGTGTTCAATAGGTTTCTAGGTCAAATTTTTCAGAATTACATTGCTAGGTCTTTCTGTGTTGTCTCAAATCTTCAAATTTTCTGTTAGCAGATAAATACTTTAACCAGGGAGTCTGTATATTGTTTACTGGTGAGTTATTAAGGGAATGCTAAGCATTGTTTCCTTTGTACATGGGCCTTCCCTGATGGGATATATAGGAACAAATAGATGTCTGTAAAAAAAGAGAGTAGAAAATCTCAATATTAGCAGCCAGAACAAGACCAGGGGACAATTGTGAAACAGACTGCTAGTTATTCAAGTACAAGTTCAATCAAAGCTGAATGAAGAAAGTGAAAATACGTTCATGAGAGCCAAATAGGACTTTGAGTTATCCCACTTAAGTTTAAAACCATTTTAAAAATAGATTCAATGCATTGAACACTAATGACTAGAGAAGACATGGGATGACATCAAGGACAACATACTTGAGTGCTTGAGACACCAGAGCTCCCTTGAAGAAAGCAAAAGGTCATTAAAAAGACAAGGGAAAGAAAAAAAAAACCAATGGTCAAAATTGATGTAAGAAGTGATTCTGAAACTTGCTTTTGAATGTAGAGATGTTAAAGAAAAGAGGAAAAGGGTTGACATAACAGAGCTGAAAAGTAGGTTTTGAAGGGTAATCAGAGAAAACAAAACAAATTGTCACAACAAAGGGTGCAAAACGCTCGAGGTAGAAAACCAAAAGAGAAGACCATGCTTGGCATTTCTCAAGCTGAAAGAAAAAAAAAAAGTCAAGCCTCAAGTTGTAATACTGGAGGATTCTAGGGGCAAAATCTTGCAAGATGCAGGAAGCATCAAAAAAAGATGGAAGGAATACACAGAGACATTGTACCAAAAAGAATTGGTTGACACTGAACCATTTCAGAAAGTAGTATACGAGCAGAACCAATGTTGCTGAATGAAGAAGTCTAAACTGCACAGAGTTGGTTTTTATTCTATGGTACTCAACAACAGTGGATGAAATAATAAGGAGATGAAGGCATTGAAAAAAAATAAGGCTCTAGGAATTGATGGAATACAAAACAGATGCAGCCCTGGACATGTTCACTCATGTATGGCAAGAAATTTGGAAGACAGCTACCTGGACAACTTATTGGAATAGATTCTTACTCACTCCTATTTTTAAAAAGGTTCTCCAGCAGAGTGCAGAAATTATAAAACAATATCATTAATATCCCACACAAGTAAAAATTTGCTGCTGATTATATTTTAAAACAGCAGGAGCCATATAGCAACAGATAATTGCCAGAAATTCATGCTGGATTTAGAAGTATGCTGGATATTGGAAATATCATTGTTGATGATGAATGGATCTTGGCTAAAAGCAAAAAATATCAGAAAGAGGTTTACTTGTGTTTTCTTTACTGCAAAGGAATATGATTGTGTGGATCATGTGGATAAATTATGGCTAGCACTGAGAAGAACAGGAATTCTAGAACACTTAATTGTGCTCATGCGAAATCTGTTCCTACTCAATATAGGTATGGTGAATATAGGCTGAGCAAAGTAATTGAGATGCTGGACTAAGTGGCACCAGGATTGGAGAAATGCTCTTCGCCAACCTGAGCTATTATGCAGAGGACACAACCTTAGTTTCAAAAAGTAAAGAAGATGCAACAAAAGAAAATTATATTATATGTACAGTTTTCAAGTTAATAAACACCATGCCTTAAAAAAAAAAAAGTAAAGAAGACTGGAGGTACTTACTGAAGAAGATTAAAAACTATAGCCTAACACCAAAGATCTACATCACTAAAATGATGACATGTCCCTCAAAAAAAAAAAAACACACAAACAACTATAGCCTTCAGTATAGTTACACTGAAATATCAAGGAAACAAAAATCCTCTCTTCTGGGCCAATAGGCAACATCATGATAAATGGAGGAAAGGTGGAAACTGGCAAGGGTTTAATTTTACTTGGATCCACAATCAATATTCCTGGTGTCACTAGCCAAGAAATCAACAAAAGACATCTCACTTTGGAAAAGCCTGCTCTCAAGGACCTCTTTGAAGTGCTAAAGAGCAAAGATGTTGTTTTAAAGACTAATGTGTATCAGACTCAAATCATAGTATTTTTCCAATTGCTTTATATGCATCTGAAAGCTAGACAATGAATAAAAAAGATCAAAGTATTGATGACTTTGTATTGTGGTGTTGGCAAGGGTATTGAATATACCGTTGTTGTGTACTGTAGAGTCAGAAACAACCCATAACTGATGCTCTGGCGGGTTTTCAGAAGTAATTTCATTGGAGCATGCCCATGCTTCTCCCATGGAGCGCTTGGTGGCCTCGAACTACATACCTTTGGGATTGCAGCACAGATTCTTGCCACCAGGCCACTAGAGCTCCCTTTGAATATAGTTAAGAACTGCAAAAAGAACAAACAAAACGGCCTTGAAGAAAGCTCAACCAGGGTGCTGCTTGGAAGCTAGGATGGTGAAACATCGTCTCGCATATTTTGGGTATATTGTCCAGAGGCTCCAATTCCTGGGAGAAGATATCAAGCTTGGAAAAGTGGAAGGTCAACAGATGACAGAAAGACCCTCTATGAGTTAGTTGGACTTAATGACTGGGACAGTGGTCACTAAGGTGATGGAGATTGTGAGAATGGTGCAGGCTAGGGCAGGGTTTCAATTTGTTTGTAGGGTCACTGTTGGGGTTTCCTCTACAGCAGGAAAGCCCCTCAAGGTTAATACTTGCTGAGTAACCAAAAACTGACCCAGAGATAGACTAAAAGACATTCATTGAGAGGAAAACTTACACACTAGAAGAAGCAATTCTTCAAGGATCCAGCAACAACAAACTGGACCAATACTCTGGGTGGGGAAAGTGACTATTTTATATCCACACACAAACAATTCAAAGTTACATGGTTAAATTAAAAATTACATGAACTGATGGAAAATATTAAGATCACTCAAAGCTTAGTCTAAAGAAAAAGCAATTATGTACTTAAATCTGTATGTAAGTCTGCAAGCCTGCCTAAAAACAATACAGGGAAGTAAAGCTTCCATTTGCCTCAGAGTTCTTCATTAACTAGAAAAACAAGCCTAATAAGAACTTAATGAGTTTAGCCTGAGTGCAGCCATTTTGGGGCATTTTGATAGACAAGTCACTCTTGAGTCAGAGCCGACTTGATGGCATCTAACAAGTACTGTTGCAACAAACCAAAGGGTGTCCCGACCCTTTTCCAAGCCTATCTTCCCCAGGGCAGAAATTATGCAACTGTAGGGAAGGGTACATTTCTTCTCTTTATGCATATCAAAAGAGTAAGCAAACAAGATTCCTCAGTTAAAAGATTTGAGACAAGGAAGATGCAGGTATTAATCAAGCATCCTCCCTTCCCAGCACATAGGCACATTCACACCTGCAGGACTGATTTCTAGAAAAAACATAGTCAGTTCCAGGGCCTTGAGTCCTATTTCAAGATCTTTCTGATGATCCCCTGAATCACACAGGGTTCCTGTAAAAGATCTGGAGAAAAGTTGACTGGAAGTCCTTTTTTCACATGATAGCAGACCTGCTGGGTAGAGGGGAAATAGATTGTTTGCCAAGGGTGTGGGAGGGTCTGTCCTTACTGAATAGGCTAGGTTAGAGTCCTGGCTGATCGTCAGAACTCATCTAGGGAGGTTGAAAAGAAGGCAGTTTCCTTCTTTTCGTAAGGAAGAAATATGCTAATTCTCAGAAGTGACGGAATTATCTGTATGTTTAAGCAGCTTTCTAAATCTACTGGCAAAGGCAAGTTGGAACCCCATGGGCCCTAAATCCTTCTAAATGGAGAAAAGGCTCTTTGGAAGGACTGTCTCCTCAAACCCAGCCTGAGACCACCCCTTACCTATACTCCCCACTCCAGGAGGTGCATCAGACATTATCAGGACAGAGGGCTGCATTGGAGCAGGGCCAGAACCCTCTGCCACTCTACTTGAGCCTCAACGTCAAGGAGAACAATCTGGAGACACTCGACTTCAAGGGTATGGTCCCAGCCACTCCACTGTCAGCACAGACCCCCAAATATTCGAATTCTGAGGTTCCCCAGAGAATTCAGACTTGAAGCTTATTTTCAGATTGTTCAGCCTTCTAGAAGTGTTGGGATGGAATGGAGTAAGGATTGAGCCAGGGAGGAATCTTTGTCCTGGGTGGGCAAGGATTGGGTCAGTCCAGGAGTCTGCTAACTTGGTGCCTACACCTGCCAGAAAAGAGTGAGGCTGAGGCCTGCAGCAGACATGTCTTGAGCACGTTCCACTCTTCCCACTTTCCTGTTTCTTTCATTTGCCCCTTAGAGTGGGTTGAGTTCTCCCCCTATGAGATTGGGTTCCTGAAGTATGGGGCCTTCATCCCCTCTGAGCTCCTGGGCTCTGACTTCTTCATGGGACGGCTGATGAGGAAGCTCCCTGAGTCTCGGATCTGCTTTCTGGAAGGTGAGGGGTTTGCTCTGAAAGCCCTGGGCAGTTCTTGGCCTCTCTGTCAGGGCATAACTCCTTAACTTGGGTGTGGCAGAGGCCAAGAATGAGGGGTGAGGGGTTGGACTGTAAGGAGAAGCCACTGCAGGGTCACCCTCCTTCCACTTTCCACCAGCACGAAGGCCCATTGGGGAGGTTAGGGTGCCTGACTTTTCTTGGGGTTTGGTCCTGCAGCTGTCTGGAGCAACATTTTCTCCCTGAACTTGTTGGATCTCTGGCATAGCCTCACCAGCTCTGAAGAAGCCTGGAAACAGCACATCAAGGAGAAGATGAGGAATATAGGTAGGACAGCGGGCACTGGGACGAGGCCTCATCCCCTTCACATGCTGGTTGTGAGATGGGCTGTGAGAGGAGAAGAAAGGCCAAGAGCCAAACATTTCCAGGTTTTTAAAAGGCCCAATATCTCTTCCTCTGGTCACAGAGAAGGAGTCTTCTGTCTCAGGGACCTCCTCATATCTAGACACCTCATGGTTGCAGCCAGGAACAGCTCTGGCCCAGGCTTTCAACGGCTTTTTGAAAAGTAGGCCGCTTCATCAGCGCAGCCCTAACTTCCTCCATGGCCTCCAGCTGCACCAGGACTATCGTGGTCAGAAAAACTTCTCTACCTGGGCAGGTAAGGGCTATGGCTCTGTGTCTTTACCTAATGAAGCCAGGCTCCAAAAAGGGATGGCCTAAGGCTAGGCTTTGGAGTGAGGGCAGGATGTCACAGGATCCACTTCTGGAGTATGGCTTGGAGAATAGTCCTTTGGAAAGTCATGGGAAGGGATTGGCTAGCAGCTGCACCAGGCAGAGTTGTCAAAGGCAAGAAGGGGGCTTGATGGCAGTTATGATGTGAAGAGGGCAGGGTGGATAGTCTGTGGCAGGGTGGTTGCCTGACTCTGCCTCCTTTGCCCACTAGACTGCCAACTGGACTGTACCCCAAGTCAGCTGACCCCCCAGGAGCCCCAGCTCTGCCTCGTGGACACTGGCTACTTCATCAACACCAGTTGCCCCTCCATGTTCCGACAAGGCCGCAGCCTGGACCTCATCCTCTCCTTCGACTACTCCTTGTCCTCCCCCTTTGAGGTGCCTCAGGTTGCTCCAAAGCTGCTGTGGAACTCAAGCCCTCTGTGGGCAGAGGCCAAACTCTAGGAGCAGGTCATAGGGCCACTGAGCCAATGGTCCAGATCTCTTGGGTCCCCAAGAGGATGAAGAATGACAAGCTCTTTCCAGGGCTCTTGGTTGGGAAAGGGGTACACTGGGGTCCTGGCCACCTAGGGCAAGTGAACAGGGATAATATCTACCCTACTTTTGGCTCCCAAGAGGAGTATCCTGAGCAGAGCTGGGGGTGGGAGAATCTTGAACATCTCTACATCCGTTCCCTGGCCCATCCTGGGATTCTGCAGGGGTTAGGATTTTGTTGCAGAAGTGGGTCCCTTACTGAAACCCCCTGGGTGCCAGGACTTGACTCATCCAGCAAACAGCAATCAAAAAGAATGGGTAACATTGGGTCTATACTCCACTGAATGTTTTAAACTAATACTGCAAATGCTGAGATCTTTCAATTCCTTCCAAGGCACAATGTAGCAAAACGGAGTCATCAACAGAGCCAAGCTAGAATGTGGTCTTGACAGTGAGGGAGCAATGGGGGTCAGGAATCGCCTTGGCATTTTCTACAGCCCTGATCTGGGATGACTCAGGAGCAGCTGGGTTTCATCTGGGCTGCTCTGTTGCTCAGGTGTTGCACCAGACGGAGCTGTACTGCCGTACCCAGGGACTGCCCTTCCCCCGTGTGAACCTGAGCCCGCAGGACCTCCACCAGCCCAGAGAGTGTCACCTTTTCTCAGACCCAGACTGCCCTGAGGCTCCTGTCCTGCTGCACTTCCCACTGGTCAATGTCTCCTTCAAGGACTACTCAGACCCTGGTGAGGCCCCCCCTTAGCTCTATTTTAACCAGGTAGCTCTGCCCTTGGCCCCTCCCAGCCTGGCCATCAAGCCGAAGGTGGAGACTTCCTGCTTAGCAACTAGGATAAGGCATAAGCCTAGGCTCAGTTCACCTGCGTTGTGATAGTCTGGTCTTTGTTGTGAATGAGTGAGGTCACTGTTCTTGTGTCCTCCTTTGGCTGCTCCAGCCCCCGTGTCACATGTGGGCTCCTCTGTTCTGTGAAGTGCCGTTCCAGAATCAGTGAGGCCAAAGACCCAGTCTGCACCCATGTCTGTTGCCTCTCAGTCATCAAGGTAGAGATTCTCCAGGCTCAACAGTCAGGAAAGGGAGGCCCTTGACGCCCTTCACTCAACTTCCCTCATATCTATTCCTCCTCGTGTATCGTTCTACCCTAGTCCAGGCTGTGGTGGCTCCTTTTTAGGGTTGCTCTCCAAATCTAAACCCTTATTAATTCCTTCCAATTCTCTTTTCTCACCAACCGGCCAGACTTCCATTTCTTTTTGGAGGTGGGACAGGAGATCCGCTTTTGTACACTATTCTGGGTTTCTTCTATCACACCTAGTCTTCCAGCTCTGCACATAGCACACTCAGCTCCCATCTTGGAATTATAAAGAACTCTTTCAACAGAGACTGACTCTTGCAAAGCAAAAGCCCACTGCTCTTCTGACTTGTTTTCATCATGAGTTTTAAGAATCCATTCACTCGCCGAGTTTTCACCTTCCTTGTTCTACCTGTTTCCACAATCTCTCTGAAACAGTACTTCCACTATTTGGAAATGCTCAAATAGTGGAAGAAGTGGAATATTACAAGGAAACATGGGGATCTTTAAACTCTTCAATCTCAAAAGACCTGCTCAAGCATTTGGCTGCTGTAAAAAATGTCAACAGTTCAAGTCCACCAGCAACTTTGCAGGAGAAAAGCTGTGGAGATGCACTCTCATAAAAATTATAATCTAGACAATTCTCGTCTGCTATATCCTATAGGGTCACTCTGACTTGAAATCAACTCATTTGCACACAACAGAATACAATTATATTTCTAGGGGGAAAGGTACCTGGGAGAAAGCCTCTCTTCTTAGTAGACAGCTACTCTGACTTGGCTAAATTCCCAGCTTAGCTCTGCCCAGTGGTAAAGCCTATGTTCTGCTCCTCACAGCCCTCTTGCCCTCTGCAGGTGTCCGGCGCAGCCCTGCAGAGCTCCAGGCTGGTCACTTGGATCTCTCCGAGGCCACCTCGCCCTATTCCTTTTTCAATATGACATATAAGGAGGAAGACTTCGACCGCCTGCTTCGCCTTAGTGACTACAATGTGCGGAACAGCCAGGATGCCATCTTGCAGGCCTTGAGGATGGCACTGAAGCACCATGCCTTGGGGACCAAGCCTCCAAGGGTGCATATGTGAGGCCTCTTAGGGCTTCTTGAGGGGCTGGAACGTAACCCAGTCTACAGCTGGATCCTCTTTGGGTTGGAGTTTCCTGGATCTTTCAAGTTGCCATCAAGTTGGCCATGACTCATAGCAACCTTGTAAACAACAAATCGAAACCTTTTTCTATCCTACACGATCCTCACTACATTCACCACGTTCAACGCCCATCGTTGCAGTCACTGTGTCAATCCATCGCATGAAGGGTTTTCCTCTCTTTCATTGACTTTCCCAGTTAGATGTCTTTTTCCAAGGAGTGGCTGCTCCTGACAACATAGCCAAAATATGTGAGATAAAGTTTTACTATCTTTGTCTCTAAGAAGGGCCCTGGTTGCACTTCCTCCAAGACAGACTTGTTTGTTCTTTTGACAGTCCATGGGATCTTCAGTACTCTTCTCCAACACCACAATTTAAAGGCATCTCTTCTTCTTTAGTCTTCCTTATACTTTGTCCAACTTAAAGATACATTGTTGTTATGTACCATCAAGTTGGAACCAACCCACAACTGAGCCTCCAGTGGGTTTTCAGAGGCAATAAATTGCACAGGAGGAGACTGTTCCTCTTTCTCCCATGGAATATCTGGTGCGTATGAAACAAGTGAAAATACCATGACTTGTGACCCTTAATCTTTAAATGGATATCTTTGCTGTTTAGCACTTTAAAGAGGTCTTTAACAAGATTTGCCCAATGCAATATGTCTTTTGATTTCTTAACTAGTTACCACGGATGTTGATTATTTCCAGGTCGGAAGAGAATGGATATGGGGTGCAAGCTTCAGGTGCCAGATAGGAGGACCAGGGACTGCTGACCTGAAAGAAGTTTCCAGGCATCTAAAATCACTGCCCTGAACCCACTCACACTTAAGTCCCATTCTCAAAGACACACACATGAACTCACACTTGCACACATGTGTACATCTATGTACTTGCACATGCGCTAATACACATGAACATATACATTCCTTTGGCCTTTCTGGCCATGGGTGAGTGGCTCATTGGGAACTTAAGGATAGATGACCTATCCAATCTTCCGTCTGCCCATTTGATACTTGGCTTTATTTTGGTTCTCTGCTTTTTCTATTTTATAAAAAAACCATTATCATTAGTATTATTATGATGATGATGACATTTCCTGGATATTGAATTTTATTTTGTTCTAAGTATTTGGCAATACTTCTTTAGCTTTCACAACCACCTAAATGGTCGGTGGGATTTTTATCGCCATTTTATCAATGATGAAGCTTAGGAATGGCAGAGAAAATAGCAGCTAGGAGCTGACCTGGCACTGCTGCTGGGCCCTGGTGTCCTCCTGATGAACACATAAACAATTTCACAGAAAACCATCAGACAGAGTCACTCAGTAATCTCGCTCCTTGAGATTCTGAGTTGAGATTGAGTTGGTTCAGACTCAAAGTGACCAGTTTTCTGAGGCTGTAAATCATTACAAGAGAAGACTGTTCATCTTCTTAGCATTGTGGCTGGTGGATTAGAATTGTGCCAGATAAGCACAGCCTTGGGGCCAGCAGCACAGACTCGCGGCAGACTACACCACCAAAGCTTCCTTTAGGTAATCTAGAATGAGCCCAAAAAGAGCGTGGCGAAACCACAACAGTGACTAAACATTGCCCTCTCTCAGCTAACCAGTGAGACTGCTGCTGCACAAGCTACAGCTTTAGCCGCACCTCTTTCCCTGCCTCCTAGGTGAAAAAGGAACTTAATTGTAGAACTTCCCCTCCACCCTCAATTTCTAATAGCAATGTTTCTTTTTGAAATTAATATCACCAACAAGTAGGGAAAAATGTTGTCACCAAGTTCTTAATTACTTTTACTTAGGTGGCTGGGCTAAAAGAACCTTGGTGGTGTGGTGGCTACTTCATTTATTTGGCTGCTAATCAAAAGATTTGTGTTTCAAACTCACCAACCTGTTCATGGGGAAAAGAAGAAGTAGTCTGTTTCAGTAAAAAGGTAAAAATTCTATAAAAAATTCTATAGTCTATAAAATTCAAAGGCAGTTTTACTTTGTCAGAATTAATCCTGTGAAAAAGGGAAAATTGATTTGTACAGAAACAGCAATCACTCTAGTTAGCCACAAAAGGGAAATGTTTGGCTATTTTTGTGGTTCCTCTGAGTTCTTGGTTTCGCGGGGCAAAAGATTAATGGCTAGCTAGACTGCTAACCAAAAGTTTGGAGACTCAGAAGTACATGGGGCCAAAACTCCTAGAGATCTACTTTTTTTTTTTTTTAAATCTATCGCTTGAAAACCCGATCGAGCATAGTTCTATTCCGATGCCCATGAGGTGCCCATGAAGTCCCCATGAGCAGGGAAGATGCCATAGTAACTGGTACCTATACTAGTATGATGCCATTTAGAAGAAAAGCCTGGCAAGCTACTTCTACAATCAGCCAGTAAAAACCCTATGAACCACAATGCTCTCATCACGGAGATGGTGAAGGAATAAACAGCATTTTGTTCCATTGTGCATGGAGTCTCCAGGAACTGAGGATCTACTCGATGGTAGCTGACATAACACCACCCACTTGAGACACTCTCCAGTTCCCCACAGAGAGTGGTTCTTTTGTTGCACCTAATACCAATAACTTCAGGCTCCTCTACCTCAAGGATCAGGAGGCCTCATCACTCCCACTCTGGGTGAGGTGGTCTCGGGGTGTACTTGACAGGCTCCAGTGTGGATTGCCCCAGGCCCTCCTTGAAGCCCATAGCCCTCTCCTGGGCCAGGTCCAGAGCCAGGGGAAGAGACACAGAGTTCCAAGGCTGTCTCCTAGGACTAGGCTGACTATATGTCCTTAGCCCAGCACACGTGGTAGCAGTGGGACTGGTAAGCAAGAATGACTCTAAAAGACATTTATTTCTCTTAATCCAGCTGGATTTATCTCAAAAATGCAACAGACATTTTATGTTAGAAAATGTGTACATTTTATTTAGTAATTCATAGGCTAAATGAGAATAATAATATAAAAGTAGTTCCTTGATAAAATTTAACTCAAGTTCTGGATTTATTAAATGCTTTCAATAATTCAGACTTTATGGCTGCTAATCAAAAGTTTGGAGGTTCAAATCCACTTGGAGGTACTTTAAAGAACCTAGTGATCTACTTTTTAAAAAAACAAAACAAAACACACACCCAAAAAACCCAACTTGACCATTGAAAACTGTCAGGCCAAGACCAAGGTCAAAGGGGAGAATGAAGGATTCAAAGACTATCAACATGTCAACAAAGGGAGTGAATAGCCTCACCCACCTGGCTAAAGCACAATGGAATGTCCCTCCTTTCCCTCCCTAAAGACCCTACTATAAAATCCTGCCCCAACCCACCTTCGGTGTGGTTCTCCCCTGGTCTGTCAATCTCCAGACCAAGGAATCTCACCCAGGAGCTCCCTTCATAAAACTTCTTTGAGCTTTCCCTCTTTCTCTCTGGTCCCTTCCTTGAGTCCTTGGCCTTACATTCATTGTGAAGACCTAACTTCTGGTGTGTGAACCCCGGGAGAGGAATCAAGGCATGTTGTGCCTCCACTCTCCTTTGGGGTATATGCTGTGCCCCTCAATCTCTCTCTTGAACTACCAGCTGCATAGCATCAAGATGTCAAATGGTAACATAACATCCAGTTTCTAGTTTCTCTCCTCTTTTCCCATTCTATATGTGTACGTCTGCTGACTGAATGCTTTTAGTGCTTGTGAAGAGGCACCACAGCTGACACTACTCTGAAGCCACAGAGTTTGATTGGGTCCTCACTTGTGGTTCTGTGGTGTTGTCATACAGCTTAGTGGCAATTTGGGTGATCCTCTAAGGACCCCAGCTGGGCCTGAGCTTGATACTGGCACACCTATTGCTAAGACACACTTTTACCCCTCAGGCATGGCCAGAGGGACGTCTATGTGGACTGAGGGGAAAGATACTCCATTGTGTGCTCTTATCAATTTTGTGTCTTTGTCCAATTGTCAGCAGTGTCCACTTTCCCTAAACCCCTCATTTTTTTCTGTCCACTACTGCCTCTATTCTGGGGGACAATCTGCTGGGGACTATCCGGTGTCTCTTCCCGAAAAGGAATCTCTCCTCCTTTCATTCTTCTGTTTCTGTATTCTCCTCTTCTATGGAGGCTCCTAAAGTTAAACCCAGTTGTCCATAAAATTTCCCAGGCATTTTCCAGGCATTTTGAACTCCCTTTGGATTCAGGTCTGTCCATACTGAACTCCTGTCTGTGCATATATCCAATATATTAAAAAATTGCAAGCCTGAATCAGGAGCCCACTCAAGTGCCAGGTGCTTCCAGGCTATTGATTGCAATAGGGAGGCCATCTTTCAATCTTTCCCAAAATCTAAGGCTTTTGGCTTTCAGAGGATGCTCTGAAATCTTGACTGCCCTCACCCACATACCTGAACACCATGGGTAGCCAAAATGTCTAGAACCCCAAGGGACAACTCCTTGAACTCCCTCCTTTCAAATCTTTTAAACTTAGGCCTGACTGATGACCTCAGTCCCAAGAGACTAATCTTTTGCTGTAACCAAGTATGGCCACAATACCAACTAAATTATGATCCTTGGTGGTCTAAGAATAAAACCTTTTTATCTTAATACCCTTCAAGATCTTGACAATTTCTGCCAATGGACTCAAAGATGGCCAGAAACCCCATGTAAGCTTTCTTTTACTTTTGCTCCCTTCTCTCTGTAAAGCCTGCCAACCTGTGCAGGTTTTCTTAGCCCATTGTCAAATAGCTTTTAGTATCTGCTTTTATTTTTTTACTTTGATGCCTTTCCAGTTGGCCTATCTTTGAAAAGTATTGCTCTTCCATGATTTAAAAAGTGTAGGTATGTGTGTGTATATACATATATGTATCTATATTTTTAAATATATTCACTTTACCAGGTGAAACCAAGTCATACTGTTTTTGAGCTAATCAAGAAAATTGCAGTTATTAAAATGTAGCATTTTAGGGTGATGAACACACATTAAATAACTTA